GGGGGCATGTCGTGGAGGTGGCGACCCACAGGAGTGTGTCATGAAGGTAGGGATGCAAAAGGGTGAGCGTACCTCCACGACACAGTTGACCAGCCGGGGCGACCGACTAAACCTGAGCGATTAGTCTAGCCGGTCGGATCAGAGTGGTCGGTCGATCAGGCCATGTTGGCCGATTGGACCAGAGTGATCGTTCAACTGGGCCAATGCGGCCGGTTGAACCAAAGTGGCTGGTCAATCGAGTCGGGGCAATCGGTTGAGCCAAGGTGCTATGTTGACTGTAATGAGGCTGTCGGTCGAGGCAAATGTGCAATGTCGATCGAGTCCAGGCCATTAGACAAGGCAAATTTGCTATGTCGATCAGGTCGGAGCGGTCGGTCAAGGCAATGTGTTATACCAACTTGGTCTGGAAGGTCGGTTAAGGCAAATGTGCTATGTTGACCAGGCCGGGGCGGCAGGTCAAGGCAATGTGTTATGTCAACTGAGCAGAGGCGGTTGGTCAAGACAATGTGCAAATGCAACATGCTTCTAGCAAGACACAACATGTCGCAATACAAGCAAATGATCATGCTTTATAACAAGCCATACTCACGCTAACGTACTCGCTTTAGCACGTAGGGTTTAGCACTTGGATGTGCAGCATATCCGCCTCCTACTTCAGCAAGGTGTGTGAGGAGCTTCATCTTCTGATCTCCAAATAGAAAACTCTCCATTAAGTTGTTGAATTGTCTAGTTACAAAGTTTTTTCCATTTCACAACTCCTCATGATTTTTGTAAGGTGGTCCAACTACAAAGGTTTTCTCACTTTGTAGAATCCAAACATCCAAACCCCTCTAAGGAAGGTTGGGAATGCCAAATCAAGTGGAAATTGGGATTCCGATGCGCTAGGATTTTGGTCTAAGGTTTGCAATGAGAATCACTTTGCTCCGCAAAAGATTTGGCCATGCATGTGATTCATAAGCTAGGACTTTCTCTAATAAATCAATGAATAATCCAAGGACGTGTGGTCGTTCTGACTAGTGTCGGTCGACCAACTCGCTCCATGTGGGTGATGGAACCCACAACCAATAGTAAATCTAACCTCTAGGCAAGCTAAGAAAGAAAACATGAAGGACTAAGAGAAATCTCACCACTGCAGAGGTTCCAGACACATTTCTTTAAGTAGGAGGAAGCTCTCATAATGGTAGAAGAGAAGTCCACGTTCCAGCAAAGCTCCAGTGAGATCCCCTCTACTCCTCTAAAGGACAAAGAAGCTCTCCTCTAGAAGGAGAGTCTGGTGAGACTCCGACAAAGTTTTGAGCTATGGTAAAGTTTGGACGGTGCTCTGGTGATTTTTCTCCCTTGCTAGCCAAACTCCTTCTCTTCAAGGAACTCTCCTCACACACTCAAGGAGTGGTAGAGAAAGATGAAGGAGAGGAGGAAGAAAATAGGAGAAAGAGTTTCTTGTGGAAGAAGAAAGGGAAGAGGAAGTAGAAGCTCTCACTCTCACCTTTTCCCCAAGCTCTCCAACTCAAGACCTTCAAGAAGAAGCCCTAGCTTCAAGGAAGAAGAAGAGTTCTCCCTTGCCCTCTCAAACACTTCAAGTTTCAGTGGGAACGTGCCACACTGGGTAATCGGCCTCACCACATCGGAGCACTCCACCGTTTGCACGCACGATTGCTCCACCTCTCCCTCCCCTCCACCTCTCCCCTCTCCTCTTTCAACTCGAGAGTCCTTTTCCGGCCACCATCTTATCGCCAACATCGTCATCGCCACCGTCTCAGTCTCCTCCGCCATCCTATTCCTCATCCTAACCTACTACACCGTGCTCGTGAACCGCCGCCGCCGCGGCGACATCCCCGACGCCGGCGACGGCTTTACCTCTGAATTGGGAGATGGTGAGGCCGATTACCCAGTGTGGCACGTTCGCACCGTCGGGCTGGACGAGTCTGCAATCAATTCCATCTCCCCGAAACCCTACGTCTCCGGCGCTGGTACCGCTGCGGATTGCTCGGTTTGCCTCGGGGATTTCTGTGAGGGTGAGCTTGTCCGTATACTTCCCGCCTGCGGGCATGCTTTCCATGTCTCATGCATTGATACGTGGCTCCGAGCTCACATTAACTGCCCTCTTTGCCGGGCCAAAATCATTGATCCCGATGTCGCTGCAGCCTTCGAAGAAGGCGATTTCGGCCCCGTTGTTAGGGCTTTGGAAGAGTTAGAAGAGGAGGAAGGTGTGGATGTTATTGATACTGCTTTGGATTGCATTGAGAGCTCCAGACTTCGAGATCGAGGTGGTTTGCCAGAAATTGTGTCAGGGGAGCAGTGGCGGTCCGATCTACTAGGTTCATTTCTGGCAAGTGAGTTATCTTCTAGAATGGATCGTGAGAGATCTGAGGATGGGGGTCATCTAAACGGGGCAAAGCAGCGCAGCAGTTTTAGCGATGAACGTCAACAAAAAAAAGCATTAGATTATGGAGGAGGATCTACCTCTGGCAGTGGAAGAATATTCTTCTTTTCAATATATGGAAGATCACGCAGTAGCTCAGTTCTTCCAGTGTGACTGAGAATTGGTATTTTATCTCTTGTTTGTTGTAGACAATGATGAATTTCTTTGCATATAATTGTTATGGAGTTTGAGATTAACGAAGGTTATGAGTTTCTAGGGCTACTAAAATTAGCTGCTGCATATATTTACATCTAGAAAGATTGAATTCTTTCTGCTGGACGATGAATGCAATTCATAGGCTTTCAATACAAAATCTTAGTGTGCACTCGAATGTTCTTCATCTTCTCCCAGATTTTTATCTTTGACTGATTGAAGCATTTTAATTGCACTCCCTAGTTGTAATTGTATATTATTGTCACATTTATATGATGTTTTCTTGTAAAGAAGTGGAATCCAGGTTGATATGGAACCAATGCCTCTTTTAAGATTATTCTCATGCATGTTCCTGTGTTATGGCGAAGCTTGTTTTCCAAATCAATTAATTGTATCAACCATTATTTGGTTTTAGCTTGGTGAGATTTTCATTAACTATATGAGTCACCAGTTTATAGCATATTTTTATTTTCATGGATATGACTGAATCGTTCAACTTTGTCTGTGAAACTGGGTGAAAGTAGTCTACATTGTTTTCAAGAACTAACTCTTTAATTCTGTTAAATTCATCTAATGCTTACTTTTCAGCTTTATTGAATATCAATTGGTGTTTTCAGTATAAAGAAAAAGTGATACAGATCCACATAGAATGATAATTTTTTCTATAAAATCTACATGGAATGTCAAGCAACTATTTGATGAATGCTCGGAGCTGTTTTTTCTGTTCAAATAGCTGCTTGACATTCATATTTATGAACTTCTTGGTAAACTTATCAGATCAAGTGCAAAATAAAGTATTTTGGTGTAGTAAATAAAAAGAGATGACCATACCTTTGATTGATTGAGTAAACTTGTCAGATCAAGTGTAAAATAAAGTATTTTGGTGTAGAAAATAAAAAGCGATGACCATACCTTTGATTGATTGATCATGTTATTGAAGTCGAATTTGGCGAGCGGCTGATCCCAATTTTTCATTCACTCCAATGCAACTCTTCAAATAATGGAACCTAAAGTGTGGTTTATGTTGTCTGCATGCCTTTCTATTTTAGGATGGTCTGTGACAAATTTCATTCACACTACTCGCTAGAAGCGGCTCACAAACTTTGAAATCATAATCTAAGGTGATGGACTTGGATGTTCCATGCAATCGAAGAAACTTTTTAAAGTATAATTAGCTATGTTGGTGCATGAACAGTGTTTCATTATTGTATAAAAATGCTATGTTTGAGAGCCGGCGAACAAAAACAAATATAAAATTCTTCTTTGGTTATATTAAACTCTAATACATAATCCATGTTGATATATTTCCATACATTATATAATAAGGGCGGTAGAGTATAGCGATCAAAGTTGTCTATGTTACGCTGCATCTGTGGCCAATAATAGCATTCTTTACTAGTTGTTATGATCTCATCATGTATTGTATGTATTATTACTTTTTTTCGTATTATGAAAGTTGTATTTTGAACTCTCGTGTTGATGGCTTTGGAGTGCGTGGCTGATTTTCCTTTTATAAAAGGCTTATTTTATATGAATTTCATTAGTCTTTACATTTTGAAGGCATATTGCCCAAATGTTGTTGAGATATGCATTATTGATTTAGAAGTACTTTAGAGATTAAAACAGCACGAGCTTCCTGTGTGGTAGTAAGGATGGCGCCCCTCCTGTTCAAAAACATTAGTCGCTCGATTGAAGTGGCCCGCACAATGCTTGAAGAGGAAGGTGAAATAATAGAATACATCAAACATGCTTATTGTATGTATTTGAGAACTTACTTGCTGATCTATATTGCAAAATAAATTTTTGTATATGAGATAATATCCTCAGCATTGTAAGGCTCTCATAACAACATGCAACTCTTGCTCTTAAATGACCCATATTTGTTTGGCTTCATTGAGTTTTTCACTAAACATTTTTCTGCATCCGAAGCCATGAGCTAATAGGACTTTTATCCTCGCAATGTTGGTGGGTTTGTAGCTATACCTACTAGTGGTGTCGAATTGGGTTCTCATGCCTTGTTTGGGTCTGACCCAAAATTGACCTAACCCAAGACTGTGTGACCATCCAACCTGAATATTAAACGAGTCAGACCATCCAACCTGAATATTAAACGAGTCGGAAAGTCCAACCATAATCGACCCGCCTTCAACCCGTCGACCTGAACCCGGCTCTTATAACTCATTTAACATAAATCACAACAGCTATTTGGGTCAAATTTTAGCCAGTTTTTCTTCATTTTGAATAATTTTAAACGATTATTTATAGCCATTCAAGTTAGCTATAAATAATCGGCTTGAGCTCATACATGATGGACATATGATGGATGAATAGCTGTCAGGTAAGTAAATAATCAAAATCTCTACAAGATTCCTTTGTTTGTTTTCAGTTTTCTTTTTTAAGAGAACCCCATCAGCAAAAATAGTCAAATATTTGTCATAGGATCTAGTAAATTTAATAATTTATGATATAGCTCATATATTGTTGTGTTCTGTGATTTCTGTATTACCTGCTAATTTAGTTTTTCTTCATTGCTGTTTTGTTTCTGAAGTTAATGGACTATACCATAATAGACAAATAGATACCATATCAACAACTGCATTCGATATTTTAAGAGTAATATCTTATCAGAAAGTGAATATCTTATCTTATTATATTATTCATAGAAATTGCAAATCAGCCAGACATAAGAAGATTATTTGGCTATAATGGATCATTTTGGGTTTGTTTAGAAATATTGTGTGGCCGTAATAATTTTAATTATTTGTATTTGCATACTCAAAGCACTAAGAATGTCTTTGTGTCTTATAAATGCATGTGGATGAAGATTTTAACAAAATCGTAGCGAAACAATGCATTTTGATTAGACAATCCCATTGGTACCAATTTTAGATCAAATTCTAAATGAATCTAAATCAAACGTTTAGATGCATAATTAAAAAATTCACAAGGCCACTTGATGAACCAGTTATTCTCCAAATTATTAGTGTTTATGCTGTTAAAATGAGCCCCTCGATTAGATCATAAGATGCTGAGATATTCATTAATCATCAATCATCAGGGAATCTTTTTGAATATTTAGGAGAGCACTCGTGATAGAGAGAATTAGAGATTTTCATAATTTTGTTCATTGTTATCAATATGATTCATCCGTACAAGGCATCAACCAATTTCGTTGCTCTTTAACTTTGATGGAGTTAGATTATTAAGAATACTCTTAAAGATATCATTGAGATAATATTCATTATTTACGAATTTGACATTACTCGAAGCTTCATGCACTAGATACGTCTTTGATGTGTACTTTTTTTCCTGGCACTAATATTCATTATCTCTTATAATTTGTCATTTGGTCCTTGATAGATTTTGGAATTCATAATCTCTTTTTTTCTCATGCACTCCACATGCCAAACATCTTCAAATTTTATTGGCTACTTTTCGAATCTTGCGGGATTTTATTCTTCCTCTCTATTATTTTTGTTTTTTTTTTCTTAAGAATTACTGGTCCATTGTTCTTCTATCTCCACAATTTTGCATATTCAGAGTATATCAACTGATATCCTCGTCTTACTGAAATCTATGTTATTTTGCTTCTCCGTTTATCAGCTTATAGTTTAAGATTGCCTTCTATATTACCATATCGTTGCATTTTGTAAATATTTTGTGTGAAATTCTCTAAAGTAAAACTGAAGAATTTTTGCGTGATATCATCACAAACATTTATGTGGTTATTGTTCACCTCATTTTGAGGTCTTCCATTCTCTAGATACCCTAGGATCTAACCTTTAAATTTCTCTATTTTTCTCTATTTTGACTCTCTTAGAGAACTAGACTGGGACCCACACCACTTAGAAATTTAAGTCATTTCTTCGCTCCTTGCAGTTTCATATAGACGGTTTTGGATCCTCAACATTTGATTGAGTTGATCGAAAAACCGACTTATTGAAGCTCAAATTGTGCTCCTATAGAAATTTGAAAGACATACGTGGACACTGTGGCGCGTGCGATGTTTGACTTGCCACTGCGAGTGATGTGTTTGACTTTGGTCGTCGATTATGTGAGGACCGGTCAATGATATATTCGTTGAACGACTCCGATCGGGTCAAAATAATTTCATTTGTCGCATCGCGCACGAATAGAAGTTAATTTGACGTGATCGTTGACGAGTTTGTCCGGATGACCTCGGATGACGAAAGGGATTGCGCCGGTGCGTCTGGAACATCAATTTTAACTGGGGAAGACACCTATTTTGATGGGGCACCGCGCTTGCACAAAATTTAATATTTTCTTTTAAAAAGAAATTATAAAATCCTTTTCATAAAAATGGTTTTAAAATCCTAAAAAAAAAAAGAAGAAACCTCACGCTTCTTTTCAAGCTTGCGTTCCTTGCCCTAGCCGAAACTCCTTTCCCCTCTCCTCTCTTCACCGAATCTTGAGGGTTTCCTTCCGGTTCTCCGGTCACCTCTTTCCTCGCCGGCCTTAACCGACTTTCACCGCTAGTCGCCTAGCCGGTAACCATTTTCTAACAAACCTTTCCGCTCGAATGCTTAAACCTGATCGGCGAACCTCTCTCTCATTCTCCGCCTATAAATATCGCATGGGAGGGGAAGATTTAGTGTGTGATTTTTCTTTGGAGATTTTGGAGAAATACAATGCTGAGGTTCATTTTCTGTTGGAAGCTTTTTATCTCGCGATCTTTCCCCAATCTTTTCATTTCTTGAGCTAAGAAGAAATCGAGGTTAGATGTCATTTATTTTTAAGATGTAGTTATTCTTGAGTCTGGTTTCGATGAATTAATGCTGCATTTATATTACTTCTTTTGCCTCCGTTCGAATATGCATTGGGAGATTATGTTCTGTTTTGAACACATGATTTGGGGAACTGATTTATACATTTATTTACTGCCTTTATTCGAATACATATGTTAGAGATTATTTTTGGTTTTGAATAATCGTTTTGGGGCTTAATTCATGCTCTTTTTGCTGCCCCTTGCTCGGATACATGATTGGAAATCATTTTATGGCTTTAAAAACTACTTTACTGTCTCGGTTTTGGCTCTTCTTGCCTCCTCTTTATTCGAATATACATTGGAATCACTTAGTGCATCGAAGAGCTGCTTTACTGTCTCGGTTTTGGCTTTTGGTGATAGCTCAGTTGTGGCTCCTCTTACAGTCCTATTTAGATTCATATAATATTCGGGTTTTAACTACTTGATTGAAGGTTAATTTTCTTGTTCCTCTCATTACCTCATCCAGATACATGTTGTTTTAGACTTGAATATCTATTTGGAACTATAGTTTTCATTCTCTTTGCTGCTCTATTCGAACACATTTTGGAACAATTTTTTTTAGTCTTGATGAAGATGTTTGGGGGCTGATTGCACGCTCTTCTTGTTGCTCTCACTGTCTTACTCAAATATGTATGGGAAATATTTTTTGGCTTTAAGAAAATTATTTGGAGCTACAATCCTTGCTCCTTTGTGCCATTCTTTTTCGAGTGTATGTTGGAGCTCTTATTTTCAGTTCTAAATAACAGTTTGGGGCTCGGTTTCTATCCTTCTTGTTGCCCCTATGCGAATAAACATATTGGAAGCCTTTCTTTGGTTTTGAGAATTAATTTGGAGCTGCAGTTCTTTGCTCCCTTTGCTACTTTATTTGAATATATATATTGGGAAGTTATTTTGGCTTTGAAACTTAATTGGGAGTTGCAGACTTTGCTCCCCTTTGTTATCTTATTCGGATACACATTGATTTAATTTTAAATTTCATTTGAGTTGGTTGCAGCCCTTATTCTTCTGCTGTTTCATTCGAATGCATATTGGAAACTATAATTTTGAGTTTGAGTACTTGAATTTGAGGCTGACTTCTGTCTCTCTTTGCTGAATTATGCGAATATACCTGTTGGGGATTACTTTTGGTTTTAAAAATTGTTTTGGAGCTGAATTTGGTTTCATGCTATTTTATAGCTTAAATAATTACTTAATAAATCAGTCTTGGTTCTCTTAATGGTGATTTGAACTCAGCCCCTTTTACAGGGCTCTGTTTTGGTTCTCTTAATAATGGCTCACCTTGGCTCTTATATTAGATTTGAGTTTAAATTTTTAATGGTTTAGCTAATCTCTTTTCAAATCTCAGTTCTGTTTCTTCAGCTTGACACTTATATTAAATCCAATTTTCAACTTCTTTGATGGCCTTTGATGATTCGATTTGGTTTTCAGGTGACTCAGCTTTTGTGCTTCTTTACGCTCGGCTTTGTACAATTGTGGCCTGGGTTTTGTCCCTTGCCGAGCCTAGTTCTGTTCTTTAATGGCTCGGTTTTGACTCTCCTTTGAGTTGGGTTTTATCCAACAATGGCTTATATTTCAGCCCTTATTCTGATTCATTTTTTTTCTGTTGCTTAAAAATCAAGTGATATGTATATATTTCACCATCATTCTTTAGTGATTATTTGACTTAATAATTTTAGTCAGCATGTTAAAATTGAATCTTCAAGAATTATATGGTTTGAGATTTTATGAGGCATGTCTATATTGGTGGAGTTAGCTTTCTTTGGTTGCATAAATCTCATAGACCTGGATTTGACAATGTGAAGAACATATTCCTCTTTAAAAATTGGTAGAGTATGTCATGATTATATACAGATTCAAAATTCAAGCTTAGAGGTGGAAAGTGGATATTACAGAAATGCTTAAATGTTTATTTCTCAATATGAGATCTATAAAAAAAAAATTCTAAGGATGAGCATATGGAATATCGAGGTGGCCTATTAGTTCGAGGCAAGGGGTAACAGACAATGATGCAAAGAACAATTTGTCAGCTTTGTTTCTAGCTGAAATATAAAATCAACACTCAATTAATGCGATGCCCTTTCACTTTCTTAAATCGTCGGCAGCCTTAACCCTCCCCAAAAGATTTGGGAAATGGTACTTAGAAAGAACAGATACACAACAAACCATTCCACGGGTACTACACTCACATAATGATAAGCACCACATCATAGACACTATGCACTGAACAATATCTATAGACATACCTGTTAACACTCACATACACACTACACATTTCATACGCCATGTCTTTCACACACTGTCTTTCATACACTATGACTCTCATGTACTATACATTTCATACACCACATAAGAGATACATCATATATTTTGACAAGTTCATGCATTACACCACGAATATCATAATACATCTCAGGTATTATACAACGAACACCACACTACACCCTGCACGACAGATGCTACATATCACGTATAGGTGCACTACATTTCGATGAGTTCAGATACCACATATCACGTATAGATGCACTACAATTTGATGAGTTCAGATACTACTCCGTTCACATATGCACTAAACGATAGGGTTTAGGGTTGCCTGACTATAGAACTGATTTGTTGGTGACCTTGGTGACCTCTAGTTGGTGACCTCTAGTTGATGTTGATAGGTTGACTTTAATATATCAGTAGTCTAGGAGATCGAGGGAATAAAAGAGGTCTAGTATGAGCCTATCCCCAAATTGAAATTTAATATCCAATCTTGAGACTTTCATATGCTCATCATTTAACTTTTCTTTTATAATCTACAAATGTTTACCTAACCCATTTATAATATACAATTGCAATTTGTTTTAAAGCTTTAGCAGAATTTGATCAAGTACACTTTTATTTATTTAATTTCCGTATTTTATTTTTTTGCATATTTCTTTTTTTTCTGTACTGTACTGTACTTCGCTACATATCTAATGCATTTTTCTTACCGCAGTTTACTACATAGTCTCTTTGTCTGTTCTTTATTGTACTGTATACATTTGCCAGTATTCATGCTTTAGTTACTACCTTTCTAGTATATTTGTATAACACCCTAGGATAGGATGTTCGAGGCATGATTTTCTCTTTTCTTTATCCATTTTTCTTGGAATGAGATGACGACGTTGTCGATTGATGATTCATCTCCGGGCAGCAATCGGGACTACGACAGATGGTGGCAGAAGGAACTTCAACCGAGTTTCGATAGATTTAAATAACATACCTATAGGACGTCGAGGTCGTTCGTCTGACACAACGTAAATCCTCACATTATCTTTTAAGACTTTCTTCGATTTCATATCGTACAATATAAGTCCTAAACTTTTTAGGCTTCCGAGGTTGTCGTCTAGCACGGCATAAATCCTCCTATTTTCTCGGCTTATTTGCATAGGATATGCAGACACGAGTCTCGAATATCTAAATAACTTGCAGGACTGAAATATCACGTAATTTTTCTTTCAAAGATTTAAAGTCAAATTATAGATTAGTTTGAGATGTCACTAAATCTTATTTGGTATCTTCGACATCTCATACTCTTCGCTCCTTTGAATTAGGAAAATAACTGTTCTTACTTGAACACATCCCACTTGACTTTTTCCTATAAGCAATCATGAATACCTAAACGTCGAATTCTTGAAGACAAAACTCTGATTTTATTCGAGAGTTTTCTTAGGTGATTTCGGTTGTCTAAGATGTAATTAACTATAGGGGTTTGCCTCTATAAGGAATTAAGAACTTAGATTAATATAAATCCTATCTAATCTGTATATTAGATAAGTGAACTTGTCGGTTATAAATTCGCAGACCAAAATAGAGTCATAAACTTTTAAGTTTAGATAGTTAAGTCTACCAATAAATGATACGTTCATCACTCGGGATGATATATCATTTATGACATCGTGCTCAGCTATTAAAACTATTAGATATATGAGGTCTATCCGGTCTCATTATTTTCAAAAAATAATAAAAAAGATAGTTAAGTCTACCAATAAATGATACGTTCATCACTCGGGATGATATATCATTTATGACATCGTGCTCAGCTATTAAAACTATTAGATATATGAGGTCTATCCGGTCTCATTATTTTCAAAAAATAATAAAAAATACAATTTTCTCAAAATTAAAATTACATTATATATTATACTAAATTTAAATTTTAAAATCTTATTTTCAAAAAGAAAAAAATTAGCCGACAGTTATCCATTCATAACTCCCAATGTATCTATAAGTAAGCTATGCTCTTTATGGATTAATGCTTAAAATAGTGAATTGAGACATAAAAGTAATAAGCCTTCTCGTAAAACCTGTACAGCTAAACTCTTTAGAAACTTCCAGCATATAGGTTTTCTCCCTAAAGTGTCAATATCATCTTGGAGGCTAAAGGCTCAATAATTGAATGAAATTAGGTCTTTAAAGAAAGTCCTACTAATCAAATTACACCATCAACATAGCTATCTAATTTTCTTGTGGGGTTTCCAATAATGGAATGCAATGCTTGTTAAACAAATTTGTTGCCAAATAACCTCAATTAAGCTTTACTTCTGTTCCTTCAAAAACTTGTCGGTTTCTTTGATTGTACCAATCATTTAATTGTAATTGGATTGAGTTATGAAGGGGAGATGCATGAGGTGCAAAACGTGAGACAAGTATCACTTTTTCTATTTGTAATATTAGAGGGGACCAAGCTTTGCTCTCCTTGGAAATATTTAAGGATTTTGATGACGCTTTGCATTGTGGCATCAACTTTTGTCTTTCTCTATTCCTATGCCCACTTTATATATATATATATATATAGACACACACACACACACACACACACATATATATGTATATATATATATATATATAAGAAGTGATTTAATTAGTAGGATTTTGATGATGCTTATAGCCATTCTTTATAAGAAAAGGGTTTTGAGGGGCATTTACATGCATACCACCCAATTCCTATATATTTACATATCTAATACCTGAATTTTTCTTTTTACCGAAATCTTTCATATCACATAAAAAATACCACCATTTTAACTTTTAAAATGTGAAATGCACCTTTTTCATGCATAGGTAAATTAGTATGCATGTAGAAATTGAAATTTGGGCGTTATAAATGTAAATATATTGGTAAATGTTCCTATTTTTAATTTCAGACTATAGTTTTTTGTTATCTGAAAATGTTCAACATGACTGATAGATAATTCGTACTTAGAACATGACAAATCTCTCACGCAACCTGTAAAGCAGTACATCACATGTGAGTAACATGTACTCTGATACTGCTTCTTAACAACTCTACCACTCTTACGTACCACCCAATTCCTATGTATTTACATATCTAACACCTAATTTCTTTTTTTTACATTTACACTACCCTAACTTTTCATATCACATAATATCATGCCATCATTTTATCTTAAAAAATTGAACACACCCTTTCATGAACAGGTAAGGTATTATGTATGTAAAAATTAAAGTTTAGGTGTTAGATATGTAAATATGTAAGACTTGAGTGGTATGTATGTAAATCTTCCTAGTTTTTATTTTATTTCATTAATAATGTATTTTATGAAATTACAGGTTGCTATTGTCTTTCAATTTTAACCCTTGTGAGAAGTGCTGGGTAAAGTAAATAATCGGCTTGAGTGCATACATGATGGACGTATGATGGAAGAATAGCCGTCAGGTAAGTAAATAATCAAAGCCTCTCTAAGATTCCTTTGTTTCCTTTCAGTTTTCATTTTTAAGAGACCCCTATCAGCAAAAATAGTTAAATATTGGCAGTAGGATCTAGTAAATTTTTATAATTTAATATATAGCTCAGATATTCTGTTGATTTCTGAGATTTCTGTAGCACCTGCTAATTTAGTTTTTCTGCATTGTTTTTTGGTTCTGAGGTTAGTGGACTGTATCATAATGTACAAATAAAGACCATAGCAGCGACTCCATTTGATATTTTAAGAGTATTATGTTATCAGAAAGTGAATATTTTATATTATTACATTATTCATAAGAATTGCAAATCACCCAGATATAAGAAGACTATTTGGTTATAATGGATCATTTTGGGTTTGTTTAGAAATTATGTGTGGTTGTAATAATTTTAATTATTTGCATCTGTATCCAGAAAGATCTGAGAATGTCTGTATCTTGTGACTGCATGTGGATGAAGATTTTAACCTCTTATAAAAATTTATATAAGGCATCTTGAGTCAGATATAAATACCAGTCTTAGTCAGCACCTAGTATGAATCATTATAGTTAACGTGGGGAGCTCTATGGCATTGCCGACAAAGAGAAGGTGCGTATTGTTTAAGTTAAGTGGGTCCAAAGTGTTCATTACGGGATTGTTTTGTGAAAAAGAAATGAAGTATAAAAGTGTAATTGAAATTGAGTTGAAAAATTTTGAAGTTGTTTGGTTTGGTATAAAATAAATGCAAAAGTTTAAAACTTTTATGTTTGGTTTGAAGAGAAATGAAATCAATGTAAAATATGCGTAGTGGTAGCGGTGGCTGCAATTGATGGCGACGATGCTGGACAACATCTGTGGTGGTCAGTTTGCATATATTTGAAAATTGCATAAATCTAATAATTTTCGAATACACCTACTTTGAACTGTAATATGATTTCCTTATTCACGAAAATTTTATATCGTATTGGAGGAAGTGAAATAAAAATTTTGAAGGAATTGTATTAAAATTACTTCTTACTTGTTTAATTCAGCAATTTGAGTGAAAATTTTCTGCATGATTAGTTGACAATAATTAATTTTTTATTCTGTGTAATCCCATAATTTTTAGAAATTGTCAATGAATAAAATACATTTGTTCGTATTTTTCTAGATAAACTTACTGTTAATTTATGTATTGGAATCAAATATGAAAGTATTGGGTAAGACCAAAACACATCCTAAATGAAATTTTGAAAGACAAAAAAAAAAAAAAAAATTTTGCACTTTCTTATGGGAAATTACATTATGATATAATAACCACATAGAAGGGATGATAGAACTTGTTATTCTTTTATTTTAGTTTGTGGTATCGCTTTCATAAAAGATTGTTATTTTGAATTTAAAGATTTTAATTTTCTATTATTTGTAAAATATATGTCTATATAAATAGCTAGTTTTTGTTTTAAATGCTGCTAGGCAATCAGAGCTAACCGTCCTTATCAATTATTTGTTAAGAACCCTACGGTATAATTGTCATTCTAGGGCTCCATTCCTTCCTATTTTTATGTTTTTTTTTGCCATTCATAGCATGAGAATATTATTGACGTGAAGGATCTTTTGTGAAGCATCCGTGATGCATGTGGTTTAGGAATTCTGTTCATCTTTTCGTTGTTATGTGTGATTTGTTAAGTTTAGTTTCTTCTTTTCATAATTAAGAGGCATTTACATACTGATCGCACAATTTTTATATATATCATAACACTTAAACTTCCATATTTATGTTTATAAACTCAAAGCTTTAATATCGCATCAAAAATACCATATGTACACCAAAAATTAGTGTTCATGAGCCAAAGCTTGCGTCTAGTAGACCTCTTGTGCCTAATAAGCTTAATTATCTATAATGCACGACTGTGGTTGGAGTGACCTACCAACCCTATTTGTCGATCGATTGTCAGTTAACTTGCACTTGTTGCTGAGCTTACCTGCTAGACTAACATGTCAAACTGGCTCATCGATCTGGTTTGCCTATTCCATCTGAAGAATTGACCAATCATATTCACCAGCCTATCTCACCTCCTTGGAGATCCTCGGGATCCTCGGGACTAGCAGAATGCAAAAGTCAAGACCGACGTCAAGGTTGTACATATGCCACATTCTCATTTATGAGCCTCCTGTATACACGTTGCGATCTTTTCATTAATATATCGTGGATAGATTTTACACAACATGAATTGTGTTTTAATATTTTTTTTGAACATGTATAACAGGGTCAAAGTAGGGGCTTTTGATGATCCATTTTTCGGGTCTTTCTTTGGGGATCCTGAACCGTGACTCTCATAGAACCTTTCCTGTCCCCTTTTTCTCATCATATCATTTCTCCTCTTTGTCAGAGGAGGATTGGAAAACTGGGCACATAATTCAGGCATGGAGAACATATTTCATCATTTTCCCTATTTTTCTCACGCACTTCTCTCCCAGGTTGTGTGATCTCAAAAACAACAAAAACAACACGGAACACAATGTCTTAAAAAGATTCTAAACCATCATTATTAACTTTTAAGATATGAAAGATGTTAAGCTGGAGTCCAATTTCTCGATCTCGCCTCCCACTCCCGCCTTCCTTTCTCAAAAAGTTGCAAACTGTTCCCTCTCGATCGAGAATGGTCGAGACCGCGACCTTACGGTTTCTCGAATCGTTCCCGTCTTTCTTTGACGGGAAGCGAAGCATCCCTTCGCTCCTTCCTGTTCGTGATAAAAGACATTGTGAGGTGGCTCTCCTTAGATTCAAGTCATGGTTGGTGTTCTTCCTCGAGATAGAGGAAGGTTTTCTCTGGATAGAAGGAAAGAGAAGTGCAAGGAGGAGTAGTTCCTTGCGATGAAGGAAGAAGAAAGTAGAAGAAGAAGAAGATTGTTCTCCCTTGGCTTCTTCTTGGTGGCTTGTGGCTCAAGAGAAATTGAGTTTATTTCTCTTGCAAGTTTATCTTCTTCAGTGTATCTTGTATCTCGGTGTAGAGTTTTAGAGTTTTTTCGGTGTATCTCGATGTAGAGAGAGAAGAAGAGAGAGCAACGAAGTGAGAGATTCCTCTTGTAAGTTGAGGTAATCGACTGGTGTAAATTCCTCAAGTGGTAAAATCATCTGAAACTCCGTGGACGTAGACAATTTGTCGAACTACGTAAATTTATGTGTTCTTTTCTGGTGTGATTTTTCTCGTTCTATTTTTGCTTTGTCGATCATTCTCCTGTTTGATTTATAGATATACCACATCAACTGGTATATCTAGATCTCGCAACAACAACTGGTATTAGAGACTTGTTCGAACCTGAGAAAGAATGATGACTGCAGATGAAGTGAATGTTTCAGGGATCGAGAAATTTGATAACACAGATTTTGATTATTGGAGGATGCAGATAGAAGACTACCTCTATGGGAAGAAACTTTATCTTCTGTTGTTAGGGAAAAGACCTGAAAGAATGGATGAGACTGAATGAAATTTGTTGGATCAATAAGTACTGGGGGTTATTCGATTGACCCTGTCAAGATCCATTGTACACAACGTTGTCTAGGAGAGGACGACTGCATATCTCATGGGAGTTTTATCATATATGTATGAAGGTATACTTGATGAAGAAATTATTCAACTTGAAGATGATGGAAGGTGTTTCTGTTGCTCAACACCTGAATAATTCCAAACTATCACAAATCAATTGTCGTTTGTTGAAATTGATTTTGATGATGAGATACGCGCGCTAATATTTGTTGGCATCGTTGTAAATAGTTGGGAAACCATGAGGATGATAGTTAGCAGTTCTGCAGGAAAATCTAAACTGAAATGCTGAAATGTGATGATATTCGTGATTTGATTTTGGCTGAGGAAGTTTGCAGAAAAGATTCAGGCGAGATCTCAGGTACGAGTTCAACACTGAATGTTAATTTTAGAGGGAGATGACAGAGATGACGAGATGACATGACAGGAACTCAAATAGAGAGAGATCAAAATCAAAGTTTGGTCAGCAGACAACCTGCTGGAATTGTGACAAAGTCACATAAGGAGGAACTGCAAGAATACCAAGAAGATAGAGAATGATAGCGCAAATGTGATATCTGAAGAAGTAAATGATGCACTATTGCTGACAGTTCATAGTTATGTTGTTGTAAATGAAGAGGATAGTGGGTCTGGGGCACCCATTTCTATTGTTCCATAGATGGTGGAAAATCACAAAACTATGAAGAAATCTTGCAATATGAAAGTTCGAACAAGTGGGAGCTGACAGAACTTCCACTAGGGAATAAGACATTACACAACAAGTGGGTGTACCAGGTGAAGACTGAGCGTGATGGAAGTAAGAGATACAAGACTAGACTTGTTGAAAAATGCTTTCAGCAGAGGCAGGATATTTGTCCATGCAGTGGGAGTAGTAAGCAGTGACAAGAGTAAATCAGGAAATAGCTTGGAGGTGCAAGGCTATTTGGACCCTACTGATATGTTGACTGAGGGTGTTACTCTTGAGAAACTCAAGTTGTGTACAGTATCAGTTGGTCTTCTGGCGTGAAGACAGAACTTTGAGTTGCAGAGGTGGAGGATTCAAGTTGGAGGATTCATGTTTGAAGAAAAAGACGACGCCGTCAGTGGAGGATATCAGTTTGAGGAAGGAGGTGTTGCTTGTGTATCGAACTCCAAGTGGGAGATTGTTAAGCTGGAGTCTGATTTCACGATCCCGCCTCCCGCCTTCCGTCCCGCTCCCGCCTTCCTTTTGTGAAACGTCGTGAATTGTTCTCTCTCGATCCCGAAAGGTCGCGACCGCGACCTTACGATTTCGCCAACCTGTTCGTGATAAAAGGCATTGCGAGGTGGATCTCCTTAGATTCAAGTCACGGTTGGTGTTCTTCTTCGGTTTCCTCGGGATAGAGAAATGTTTTCTCAGGATAGAAGGAAAGAGAATTGCAAGGAGAAGTAGTTCTTTGCGGTGAAGGAAGAAGATCGTTCTCCCTTGGCTTCTTCTTGGTGGTTTGTGGCTCAAGAGAAATTATATTTATTTCTCTTGTAAGTTTATTTTCTTCGGTGTATCTCGGTGTATCTCGGTATAAAGGGAGAAGAAGAGAGAACAACGAAGTGAAAGATTCATCTTTTAAGTCGAGGTGATCGACTGGTGTAAATTCCTCAAGTAGTAAAATCCTTTACAACTCCGTTGCCGTAGGCAATTTGTCGAACCACGCAAATCTGTGTGCTCTTTTATGGTGTGATTTTTTCTCGTTTTATTTTTATTTTGTCGATCATTCTCCTGTTTGATTTATAGATATACCATATCAACTTGTATATCTAGATCTCGCAACAACAAAAGACGCATTTTCTTGCATAGGTTTATGGTGCCGAAGTAGTATGAGTGCAAATTTTAAATTGTAGGTGTTGATATATAAATGCATAAGAATTTTGTGGTAGATATGTAAATTTTCGTTAATAGATAGAGGCACAAAGAAAATTTTTGCTGTAGATGATCTTAGAGTGGGAGCATTTCAGTTAGTTATTATTATTGTTATTATTATTATTATTTTTTTTTTTTTTTCTGGGATTGCTTTTGCTAATTTCTGACTCTTTCAATATGATAAAAGTAGAAAGAACTTGAAGCATAATTGAAGGCCTCTTTTTTAACAAAGTTTTATAATTATATTATTACTTGGAAAATAATTTCTGTACCAATCGATACTTACGCATACAGGAGTGAAAATAACATGAAAGTGAGCTGCATTTAACTTAATACAATCTTAATTTATTACCAACACATTATTTGCAGATCCCTCTGAAATAAACAGCAGCGTGAACTGGTTGAACAATGAGTACAAATTACAGCACAGCAAAATACAATTATCTCAGCAAAATTTCTTCCTCTTCCTGATTCTTCAACACAATTTCATGAACTGCAGCTGCGATTTCATCCACCGAATTCAGCCGACAGTCATCTTCTACCTACAGATCATAACACAATCAATCCATCACTCCACATAGAAAAAGCAGATGATTTCTGAAACTTTATTTATAATTACCTTCAGACTGAAGCAATATAAGACCATAGGTTCAACGGAAGTAACATTGAGGTGTAGAATGGTGAGCTGAAGATTCTGCAGCCCCGGGAGCTGCTTCGGCTGCCGGCGAGATAGCAGTTTCAGGTTGGCATGGCTCTCCACAATTCCAACTTCGATGGCGGCCGCCGACGGCGGAGAAGTATACTGGGGGGAGGTGAAGAAATTTGTCAGCGGATTGATTGGTGAAGAGACGTCTTGTTCTTCAGTCTTTATTTGTTGTTTGAGGTGTTTCTGGACTTCAAGGAACTGGAGGAACTGCTCCAGCTCTCTCACAAAGTTTATGGCGCCGCTTATGATGGAAGCCTGATCACCCTGAAGACTTTTACAGGTATGAGATTAAAATCTTGATCTCATTATTACTAAATTAAAATTGCAATTTTGAATTAATAGTTGAAGTACATTGCTAAAGCTCCAAATTGACAAAAGAGATGCAGAATGAAAAACACAGCTTTTTAACTAGTTGGAGGAATGCTAAAACTGATATAAACTGATGCATCTAGCTTGATTTATATTAAAAAAAAAAACTATTTTTGGAGAAATTTGGTTTGAAAAGTTTAATATCATATCAAAAATTTTGACCTGTTTCTTAAATTCATATTTCTGCTATAAATTTTTCAATCTGTTTCATGAAAACCAGCTGCTCAATCACAGTAGAGAGAGAAAGAGAGATAGAGAGAGAGACCCTTTGGACATAGGAAGGAGGCATGAGGGATCGGAGGAGAGCAAGATAATAGTTCATCTGCTTGCGCCGGTTTCTTTCCACAGCAATGTGAGTCATTCTCTGGTTCTTTACTTCCTCCTCATTCTTCGAAGTCTTGTTCCGCCGCCTCTTCTTTCTCCCACTCCTTTCTTCTTCAACTCCGGCCGCTGCCGCCACATTCGCCGTGCATTCAAATTCATGCCGTGGTGGCGTTAAATTTGAGGAATATGTATTCCATTCTTCAAATCCCTGTGCCAGAGAACTGTAAGCAACCTCCCAATTTCCATAAAACGCCTGCTCTTCTTCTTCCTCCGTAAGCCCGTAGAACTCCTTTACGTTACAGCTTAAGAGATTTTGTGGGAAAACCACGGCTTCTAATGCCATTTTTTTATCTCTTTTTCAGTGTTGAACAGAAAAAAGCTGTTGCGATGTAGAGGAAACTGAAAAATTTAATACTCGGCTGAGGGAGACGATTGGTTTTTAAAAGGGGAGGAGAAGAATGGAATGCCACGTGCAAGAAGGGAGAGAGGTGAGCTTTGATATGGAGACAATTCTTCCTTAATATAACCCTTTTATAATCCTTATTTAGGCTTCGTTCGATCCTTTAAAAGTTGTGTGGCGGAACGGGTATTATCGTCTGAGTTCTAGAATGACGATTTGGGCGAAATAATTTTGGGAGGTGTCGGGAGGTGCTAGTTTATCAAATGAAAACAAATCTACGCATCAGCATTCAGAACAACCGAACGGAACTTGAATGCCTTCTCAAACGAAGTCTTAAATAAGTATGACGTGAAATTCATTTTCTCGTGTTTAATAAATAGCTTATTAGGTGCTCACTAAAATTATCATTGAATAAGATAAAATATGCATATTGATTGAAATGCAAAAGTGCTAAAAATATTGAGGAACATACCACACAATTCTTATGCATTTACATATCTACCCATCCAATTTTTGATATTAAGAATGTGTATTGAGTGAAAAGTACATGTGTTTAGTAATGATACAAATGATGGGGTATGTATGTAAATGCACCAATAATTGAATGAAAAGTACATAAGTTTAGTAATGATAGATTAAAATCTGATTACAGTGCTAAATTAATATTAAGAAAAATATTATGGCAATGCAGAATCTCCTCAGTTCTAAAGTTGTTAAAATAAACTCTAACAAATAAATAATTAATGTCTAAAGCTCTAATTATAAGATATGTGAGTTATTATTGAAGCAGTTTTGTTTGATTTTATGACTGAAAAAGCATAGAAAGGGGGAGAGAGAGAGAGAGACTGTTGGCATGTGAGCTCTATGCTTAGCCTGTTTGTTTTTCTCTCTTTTATACTGCAATCATCTGCCAAGTCTGAGCTCTATTCTCGAGGGCTTGTGCTTAATTGCTTGTGAGTTTTGGATTTTCTGCTCGCGATTAACATTTGAATTAAGTTGCGGCTTTTTAATTTTTTTAAGTGATTATAAAGTTCATTAAATGGGCCGCCCAATCAAACAAATTTTGAAGTTGGGAGTTGGACCTTTAAAGAGGCAAGATCGGCCCAGATTGATTTGAATTTAATATGGGAGAAATCAGTATAATTTTATTTTAATAACATTAATAGAATTGAATATAATACATTATAATTAGTGTACTAAAATTTTATACATAAATAATAATGCGGCATAGGGTTAGAGAGAATCTTAGGAAGATTTACATTAATACCACTCAATTCCTATATATTTACAAATCTAGCACCTGAACTTAAATTTTTACATAATGTCAACACATCGTGTGGAATGATGTATTTCACTTCTTACAAGTTAAAATTGTGGCATTTTCTTATTTGATGTGAAAGATTGGAGTGGTACAAATGTAAAAAAAGTAAAGTTTCGGTATTTGATTTGTAAATATATAAAAATTGGTTGGTATGTACATTGAAATTCAAATTAAATAGTAGTATAAAATAGCAATACATCTAGGTTCATTTTAATATATAAATGAATGGTTTTGGATTATATTATTACATGCTATACAAGTCATCTAAGTATCTTGATGTTCTACCAGATTTATTTATATTTTATATTTTTAACAATTGACATACAACTAAATTGTAAATTTTGATTTATTTATGCATTTTATTATCCACATTATATGATTAAACAGAAGGCTTTCCATGGAAGAAAGATATGGTCTATATTTTGAAATAGATCAGGCTTGTAGCCACTAAATTTAAATAATACTTAATCGTGGGAATATTTGTACGTTTAGGCCCATATTTAAATTTAAATTTGGTCGTATGTTTGCATCATTCGTTATGTTCATGGCTTAAACGTTGACCAATCGTAAATAAAATTATATGATATACCTTTCTTCAAAGAGCAATATAAAATAGAAATTAATTAATTAAATTTATTTTTTATCTAATAATAACATAACATATGATGAAAACATAGGAATTGGGAGGTACCTATGTAAAGGCACAAAAAAAAAAATTAATAATAATAATAATGGTGATGACCAAATAAATATAAAATTACATTACATACAACATGGTGTTTGTTCGCGATGTCTTACTGAAAAGATCGTGATGCGAGTGTCAGAGAGTGCTATAAAAGAGAAAAAGGCTTTTACCCAAAAGTAATGATGATGCTGTTCCGGTTGTGTACATGTCTTGGACTAGCATGACCACTTTGGCAGGTGGACCTGGCTCATGAGATAATACCCATGGAATAAAAAATCGATATGGTTATCAAACCATTAAACAAAATATTTTATTCATTAAAAAAATGAAATTCAACTCTATCCAGCTCACAGCGACTAAATATAAAATCAGAGGCCCCCCTTAAAACTTGCTGCAATAATTAAAAAAAATTATTATTAAAATATGTTTGACTTAAATATAAATATTTAAATAAGAAATAAAACATAAGAGTACTACATGGCTTTGGATTCCATAAGAAACTTCAACATTGACTAATTAGTGTATGAGCTCATCCATGAGCTTTCTCTATAATTTTTTTTCTTTGAATGAAGCTTCCTGGGAATTACATGGATGACCTTTTACTTTTACAACTAGGTATATTAATAAAGGGTCAAAATTGTTTCTAGCGATTTACATAGGACCGGTTTAATTCCAGAGTTTATAAAAGTGTAAAAATAGTCCGTGGTTATTTTAAAATTGAGTCTTTATAAAGATTATTACTGCCACAATTTAAGAAATTTGTTGACTAATTTCACACTTCTATATACTCGGAGACTTAATAGTCTGTTTGGGGCAGCTGCAACTTATTGAATAATCTGCTGATATGCTAGGTGTGGTGACTATTATAAATTTTTATTTTCTTGGACAAGTCAGACCGTAACCAGAAAGCTGTCGCCGGACCTATCTGGCAGAAAGTTAGGGACAGTGTGAAAACGCTGTTTTCAGTGTTTTGAAAACGCATAAGCTGTAGAAACACAATTTACCCAAACAGGTCAAGTGTGTTTTCAAAACACCACCGCACCAAATAAACTATCCTTAACAGACCCTAAAATGAGCATATTTAACATATCTTTTAGATAATTGATCATAATGATATATTTTAAGAGGATTGAATATATATTTGATATTTAACATATCTTAACAGACCCTAATAATGATAAATTATTGATAAACAAAAAATTAGGAGCATGCCGGTTGAGGCAAATAGATATTAATAATGCATATTTTATATAAAAAAAGATCAATGCCCATGAGTTTAATACAATATTAGGCTAACAAGCCGCTACGGGCTATATTAATTTTTATTATTTTTTAATTTCACCAGTTCGACATGTGAGTATTTTGTGGAAATTTGCATACATAATAATATAATAATGCTAAATAACTTATTAAATAGATGATATTCAGCTATTAGTTGAATAAAGTTAAATTAACAAATACTTTTATTATTTGTTTAAATTAATTTATTTACCATTAGTATTTATTTAAGTTATTTTATTATAAAAACACTTGCTTTTAATATTTATTTAATTGGTGTAAAGTGTTTAGATGCTAATTCAGAGATTGTCCAAGTGCTTGTTTGTTTAGATTTGTAAAATCATATCATTTGTTAAGAATATGAAGCGGAAAAGCAAGATAATCATTTGAATATTTAGCTTATTTATTTAGTCTTTAATATGCACGTTAAATTTCAATGTGTTGAGTATTGTGGAGCCCGGTCCACTTCTCCTATTGACGGTTTCGGCTTTCATGGCAATTATTCAAATTTCATGGATTAAATTACTTTTTATTTTTTCCTTCTCTTTTGGATAGCCGAAACACCTGTGCCCTTCCTTATCGAGATCCCGCCCTCCTCCTTCTTCACATCTTTTAAAGATTGCCCTTCTCTTGTAATTGAAGAGCAAGAGCGAAGCAAATTAGGGGCGACTGCAACCGAGAAGGAGTTTCGAGCGGCTGCGCTTGAGAAAGAAGAAGGTTTGGGTGGCGTCTAGAGAAAGCGGTTGCAGTTGGAGGTGTCTCGGCGACCGGATGAAGACGATGGCCGGAGGCTGAACCAGGGCAAATCCGAAGGAGAAGTTGAGAAGCGGAATTGAGTTCTTGTAACCCTGTTTGAGAAACTATGTAATCTCCAAGTAATAAAATCATCTGCAATTCTGTGGACCTAAGCAATTTTCAAAACCTCATAAATATATATATTTTTGTGATTTTCTCGTTCCATAATTTTCCTCGTTGCTGCCATCATTTTCACAACACAATGCATGCCATGTTACAACACTACTCAAAGTTGTCCTGTAAGTCATCAAATGTGGACTCCAAATGTCATATAAAGTCGGATATGGGCTTCTAAAATATAGTACCGTACTCATAGAATATTTAAATTAATGTCTAGCCGATTTGATTCACCATTATTGAATTTGCTTGCCGTTTTGTATAGGTTCCATTCTTTTGGGACATGACATAATGTCATATATACCACAGTTTTTGTTATGTGTTTACACAACTAATTGCTGAATTCAAATTTGTTTGTTAATCATGCCTCAAGGGTTAGAGTTTAAGAAAAAGAGAGATGAAAAAAGAGAGGGAAAATGGACACTAAAATGTTTTGTCTATTAGCCTGTTGCTCATAAAATGATCTCTATATTTACATGGGAGATGGTAGAACATGTGATATTATATGTTTATCACTTTTTTAATGTGGTATTTATAAGATATTTTAAGTATTTTACATACATGAGACTGTTGTTTGACTGCCGAATCACTAGGTCAATTAGGCTAGTATGGCTCCAACTTGGTCAAATCCAGTTTGGTTGATTTGATTGAGTCAGTGCAGCCGCTCAATTGGATTCGATTAGCATTGGGTTAGTTGATTACACTTTGTCGATCAATCCATTTAGTCTAACTATTAACCCCCAATTCCTAAATGTCTCAATAAAATAATCTTAATTTATCATTATCACTGAATTTTTAAAATTGGGAAAATTACAAATTGTTTAAAGAAAATATACAAGTTCAAATTTGAACATTACATATCTAAAAGGTATTAACATTATTTTAAAATAAAAATAAATTTCCTATTTATTTATGCTCATTTCAAAATTAATTTAATAACTTTTAAGATTTATTAAACCAAAAAGTTTTGTATTGAAATTAAAATATTTCTAAATCAAAAGAGAAAAAAAAAGAGTTTTCCCTTAATAAAACAAATTAACATTCTACGTATTTTCAAAGACGTGCTTCTCTTGCCTTCTAATTCACAACAAGTTAGGATTTTGACCTTTTCAACCAATTCAAGTCAAAAATATATATATATATATATCTTTATTTTCTTTGATATTGTGCTCATGAGGAGGCCGGTCGTGAAATAACAAAATAAATTTAAAAAAAAAAAAAAATTTTTTTAATTGAATTTATTTTCATTAAATAAAGGTTGGCAGAAATTATTCTTTACCTGGTTGGTAGGCTGACTCAATTAAAGGCAATGGCACTTCAAGGCCTTTTTGAAGGCCCTTAAACTTTATATTAATTAATTCATTTTTTTTTTTTTTTTTTTTTTTTTTTTTTCTTGTGACAACTATAAGTCTCTCCTATTAGAAAAATACTTTAAGTGGTCATAAAAATTAAATCCATATAACTATTATTATGTTTATATTCATTTGATTTCTAACTTGTCATGGGATGTTCAATGAGTAGCCAATTATAGCTCTTAGAATGCTTTCTAAACAATAGACTAAATTGAGTTCAACTTATGTATTGTTTATGTAATCATGCTATATAGCCAGCTAAATAATGTATGTTTTTTTACCAAATCTATAAAAATATTTATAATACTTAACTAAAACTTTTAGATAAAATTGCATTTCCCACAACAACTTTACAATCATGATTATAAAACTATACAATCCAAACCAGTTCCTTAAAGGATTTATTCACACAGCCTTGTCTATCTTTATCTAGTACGCTCACTCACTTTCTCTATATGTATATCTACATTGTACTTTTTCTTTGGGCTTGAATCATTTCTATTAACAATATTTTTTATTTTTATTTTATTTTTTTTTTTTTTTGAAAAAAAGAGGATCCAATATCCTCCTTGGTGTAATATGTGAATGAAATTGAAGAATATAAATTAGAAATAGAATTTACCTAAGTTTGTAATACATGCATGTCCAATATATGATATAATTATAATGTCATCTTAGAATAATTATAGCACATGTGTTGAACCTTTTTGAGACCTAGAGACTCTATCATTTGTGAGTGCATACAAGTCAATTAAAAATCTTGTTTCATAAAGAGAATGATAAAGAATGATTGATGAAATTCTTTTGAGAGAACCATAGGAAATATATTAAATTTTGATCTTTGGTAAGTTCGAGGGAATTGGCTCCTCGGAGATTCCCTGGATCATAGGATTTCAAAGAGAGAAGAGAGAAAAATGGTAATAGAGAGTGATCTTGAGAGATTGAGGAAAAAAGGGATAATGTTTTCCTATCCTTTTCTCTTTTTGCATGTCATGTTTCTCCAGTGTCTTGATGAAAGACTGTGATATGAATGTCAGGTATTGTCAACCATTATCATGTATTATCGGGACAGTAGTCATTATTGGTACATGGGTGAAAGGATCGGGCTTCAAGTGTCATGTGACATCTTTAATAAGAGACTGATGGATGTCCTTATTTGTCCTGATGACTTTTCATCGGTCATGTTGACTTCCTCGATAGCTGCCTCTCGTATAGGTGGGTTAGGTTGTCCATTTGAGGAAATTGAGAATAATCAGATTAACAGGCAGACTGAATTCAGGCAAGTCAAGAGGTGGGCTCGATTCAGGCAATTTGACAGGTGGGCTTGATTCAGACATTTTGGCATGTGGGCTTGATTCAGTAAGAGAAATTTAGCTAAATTTCTTATATACTCATATTTTTGTATACAACAAGAGAAGTTAATTGATGAGAATATTCTTAGGAATTTTTTATTTCTTTTTATAACATACAAAATAGCTCCTTTACTTTCAAAAAACAACATGTTGCGTCTCTTAGACACTAGCATCATCTAACTCAAATAGTTGTTACCTTAACTCTTACTTCAAGATGATGAATATAATCTCTTAAGTTGATTACTCGAGACCCATGCAAAGCATCTGATTCTGCCATCGCTTAGTTTATAATGTTAATACTTAGTTCTTATCAAGGATCAATAGGTATACTCTCCTTATCGAGATGCTTGCTTGGAGTAAATGATTTCAAGTTTCTCTTTATTACTTTAAAGAGGCACCATAATGAGAATTCTATAATCCTCTTTTGAGAGACATTACTCATTTTGCCAACTTATTTTAGCAGTTCATTGCATATTTTGTAGGCGCTAAAAAGTCATGAAAATATCTTAATCTCTCTCGAATATGTGGCAAGAGCAAGGAGATGGGCTTAACCATGCTCTCACTAGGTTCTAACATAAGATTATCAGAATCTCCAAGCTTATTTGAACAACATTTTATTTTGTGCTCTGCTTGCTTCAACTAAGGCCTCAGACAGATATTTAGCCAACCAAAACATTGATATAAAAGAATACAACGACATGAGCTCAACTACTAGGTCTTTTCTATATAAATCCACCAAACATTAATTCATGATGTCCTTCCTAAGATCAATATTATAAATAAAACCAAAATTTTTACTCATGGTTCTACATAAAGAGGGAATTTTTTAAATTTTTTGGCATCATCAAAAGATCAGAGAAATTATACTGACAAAATAAATATTTTTTTCATGCCCATAATATTAATTTGCACAAGAAATAGGAATATAAATGATAGTATTATTGTTTATCTCATTTATATTTTATGATTACATTAAAATATATATGAAAAAAAAAACTTTATGAGTTCTTATGATAATAAATATGATTTTTATATTCTTTGATATTGATATATTTGATGTTGAAATGAGGCTCAATCAATGATTGTTATATGGATTTTTCATAGCCAAACTTGACATATATTGCTAAAGACTTTTCCAGTGGTAGTTTCTATTAAAGTTGTTGAGATTATGTATTATCATGTAAAATTGGAACATGCATCATATACTAATAGCAACAATCTCCACTCTTTATTACTAAAAAAAACATAATCTTATTATTGAGAATAGTTTCAATTATTATATTTTTCTTAATTATTGTGTTCTACTACTTATATATAGACACTAATAGATCAACAAATTATTCAATTCAATAATAACCAAAAGGTTAGAAAAATTTGACTCACAAATTAAATATCAATTCTTCCCATGTTCATAATATAAATTTACTTTCCTGAAAGCTTTTAAAAAATAATTTTGTTAATTTTTTATGATAGCAGTTGGATCAATAAATATAAGTAGACTGATCAAAGATATCTTTTATTCATAATATAGTCCTCTATCTATAGGCCTAGGTCTCAAAACTACAAAAGTATCTATTAGCACCTTTATTATTAACTTTTAGAGTTGTTTTTTTTGTTAATTATAGAGTTATTTGCATATAATAAAATCGGGGCCAATTCAATCGACGAGGATTGTCGCCTGGCAAGCCTTGGTTCAGTCAATATATAGTTCGAAAAAGTGCTTCCCGTCAATCGTCCTGAAGGCTGATCACCGCCCTACAGGATTTTCTTTTGGCGTCTTATTTGTCAATTATTTGGATTAGTGTTTCATTCACCAATACTTATCTGAAAATGATCGTCGTCCGCATCTACGCTCGATCGTCCTCACCTTCTTCTTGAGCCGCTCATCTGCTTTGAGATTCATACTGTCACATTTTTATGTGTATAATAGCAATCATGATTTTGATATGCTCTGTGGTTGATATATTTGATGAAGGAATTTGATGTAGTTGATAGTGTTGGGTCCAAGCGATTCCATTGCAATTTACCTCCAATCAAATGATGCATGGAAAACGAGGCTCGACAGAGTTTGTTGAAATAATTTTCCATAATTAATGTTTTTTTTTCTAAAGTTAATGATCTCTTTTATTGTTATTTCGGTTGAAGTTATTAGAATTATTAATTTATTAAATAAATATTAACATATTCTTATGGAAATTTATAGTAACCATTAGTATGTGATCTACTATTTATTAGAAAAAAATTAGTTAATAAATGATTTTTTTAAGTTTTAGACTTATTTCCTTTTTCAATTAGAAGAATCGAGAACTAGAGCGTCTTAATTTGTTTGCGCACCACAATTAAGAGTCTGTTTGGAACAACTGTTGCTTATTGAAACATCTGTTGATGAGTTGATTAAAAATAATTTGTTGATAAGTTAGTTGTGATGGCTACTACAAATTTTTATTTTTTTTGGAAAAGTGACCACAGCCAGCAAGTTGCTAGATATGTGCGGTGTGAAAACTATGTTTTCAACGTTTTAAAAACGCATAAGCTGTCAAAACGCTATTTACCCAAACAAGCAATGTGCGTTTTCAAAACGCCACAGCACTAAATAAGCTGTCCAAACGGACCCTAAAGCTAATCATCTAATTATCAGAAGGTGATTGTAACACAAGACAATTGTTTAAGCTGTAGAGAAAGAAGCTAATTTGCCAAAATGATGATAACAACTAACTAGTAATTATTAACAATCTAATTGGTGATTATCATATGAAACAAAAAAAAAACGGTTTTTTTCCTATTTTATGAATATTTCTACTCAATTAAATAAAATTGATAAATATCTCAAATATAAAGTACAGTTTAACTATATTGAATAACATGATATAGTATTAAAAATTCAAGCACAACATATGCTCCAACATCATATTATATATATATATAGTCAGGTAGGAGACCAAAACAACACTTTTAAAGGCTCCTTCGATCACCGTAGAAGATATCACCTTATCTACAAGTGCAACGGACCAAGTCCGCTAATACACTATGATCAGTTACCGTCACCCCAATGCCCCAACCCCTTCCTCCTTTGCGTTACAGTCACCATTCGGTAATTAAGTTCTCCGATTAACCTTCTGCACAGTCGAACTACGGTCATCTACTTCTCGATTCTTCTATTAAAAAAGAGAATGAAAATCAGTTCACAATCTCACCGCGAGTCGCACGTGCAAATTCCGGTGAGATGACCGCCACTTAGCCTCCGGCAAGTGTTTGACCAAAGCTCCTCCTCCTTATCATTATATATCTGTTCTTCACTCTGTTCTTCTGTATCGCGAGAGCAAACAAATCTACCGGCCATGGCAACAAAGCTCCACCGCCGTATAATTGCCGGCGATCACACCGCCGCTGTTCTTTTGCTGATCGTCTTCTACCTCTTCGCCTCCGACTTCGTTCAAGCCCAATCGCCGCCGAATGGAAACAATAGCAACAACCCTAATTACTTCACGTCGGCGAAATTCAATCCATCCATGGCCGTCATCATCGTCGTCCTGGTGAGCGCGTTTTTCTTCCTGGGGTTTTTTTCCATCTACATACGCCGATGCGGTGGCGGAGGCATGGATTCCTTTGCAGCAACTGCGGCCGCTGCCGTCGGCGGCCGATCCAGGAGGCAGCGGGGGCTAGACGCAGCGATTCTGGAAACATTTCCCACCCTCGTATACTCTGAGGTGAAGGAGCACAAGATTGGCAAGGGTGCGCTCGAGTGCGCAATCTGCCTCAACGAATTCGAGGAAGAAGATACAATCCGCCTTCTTCCCAAATGTGACCATGTCTTCCATCAGGAGTGCATCGACGCCTGGCTTGCCACTCATGTCACCTGCCCCGTTTGCCGCACAAATTACGCCGTCGATTCCACCGAGACCCCTACCACCGAAGGAACGACTGATGCGCCGGCTCCGACTGCGGCGATGGAAGTCATCCGAGGTCCAGATCCGGCGCCGCCGGTGACCGATCATGTCGCAATCACGGTGGATGATGGAGAGAGGAAACATGAGATGAAGGAGCTTGCACGAATCGCGAGCAGGGTGAGAAGGAACGGGTCGAGGAGGGGGCGGCCTCTTCCGCGATCGCACTCGACCGGTCATTCGATAACGCAGCAGGGAGAGGGTTTGGATCGGTACACGCTGCGGCTGCCTGAGAACGTTCGGAAGGATATCATCGCCGCCGGGATGTTGCAGCGGCAGAGGAGCTTAGCGGTGACGAGGGGAGGTGATGGAAGCTCGAGGAGGGTTTCGGGAGTAATCGGGGACGATGGCAGCCGCCGCGGGAAGACTGTACGGCTAGGTCGTTCGGATCGTTGGCCTTCTCACTTCGTGCGGTCGTTCTCGGCTAAGATACCGGCGTGGGGGAACTGGAAGAGAGGAGAGGAAGGTTCGACGAAGGAAGGATCTGTGAAGGGGAAGTTCGCCGCCGGCGGCTTCTCCAAGAAGAATCCCGATGATTCGGAGTCGTCGACCGCCGCGTTGAACCGCGTTTAACCCCGGTTTATTCTTTAATTTCACTCAAATTTTTTTCGGTTTTTTTTTTTTTTGTATTTATTTGAGTGACGAATATAAAGATTAGGCGACGCGGCGTTTAAAGGGGAATTGTTAGGAAAAACAAGGTCTAATTTGTACAGCGGAATTGTTTTATAAATATGTTGAATGTCTTTTTTTTTAATTACTTTTAACAAAATAAAAAATATTTATGAAATTGTTAATGGCCGAGCAATAATGAAGGGTATACAAGTCATTGCATTGTGTGCGAATAGGAAGGCTTTGGCGTCTTCTGTCCGCGTTTTCTACGTGGGACCCATACGACACGTGTTCCACAAATTTAGAGTCCATGAAATTAATGCCAGGCTCACATATTTAAGAAAACTTTATCGCAGCATATTTATCATTAGAAATCTAATTTTGAATATCTGGAAGTCCAATTAGGAGATGCCACGTAATTTATGTCAACGTAGCCTCTCTCATGGGACAAAATTTGTGCTATTTATAGTTACATGAAAGTAAGATCGCCTCTTTAACTTTCTAGAAATGGTCCATTTGCCTACATTATATTATGAACATTATTGGATGAAACAGTGGCATATGAAGACCATGTTTATAATGACATGTTAAATGGAATGAGATATTCTAACAAAATCTGATTAAATCAATTATTTTGAGATTAGTGTAATAAAAGGAGTGTCAATCAAACTTGATATTACATTCATCTTAAAATAAAAATATTATTTGAGTCAATTTTTTCTTCTTTTATCATAAATACTAACAAATTACTTAATTTAATTAATGCATGTTGAGCATTGAAGTATTATTTTATAGCAATAAGCAAGTTAAAAAGATGAAAAATGTTAAATAATGAGCATAAACTTAAAAGTGAACCAACATAAGTTATGCAACAACTAATATAAGTTCTCAATGGTTAAGCTTAGTTATGAGTAATAATTTAGTCTTCATACCATCATTGCTATTCTATAGTATCTCAACATATAATAAAATGGGGGATATAATATGATAGCCTTCAAAACATCAATATTTATATAATTTTAGATCCAAAATTGTTCGGCAGACAAGTCATGAAGACCATAACACTGAGTATAAACGCTTATTAATTGTCTCCACATCTTAACAAGTCTCATCTTGACATATCAGGTTTTTAAGTCTTGCAACAAAACTAACAATGACGATGAGATTTTGACCAGTGGATGAAGAAGTAGCAAAGTTTATAAACAAAATAGTTAAAAGACGACGAAGAATGATTGTAGATCTAATCGAACTTTCCTACGATATCTCGATATGAATTCCTCGTCTTCTCTTCATCAGTGAAACTCCAATTTCAAGCCAGATCCTCTTATGACTTCTCCACGTCCTTCAAAATCGATTGTAGTTATCTAATTGTGATTAAGAGTTTTATTTATTGTTTTAATGGTGTTCTATGTTATATGAATAATGGAATTTAGGTTTTAAATCGTAATATTTTAAGTCTTATGTATGCAAATTCTCTCAAAGGTATTTTAATAAAATGATTAATTGTTTTAAACTATATAGAATTGGTCTACTTGTGTTGATGCATAAAATGATTATACTTTAATACAAAAAAAATTCATTTTAGAATGTCAAAATGAGACTGGTAAAGATTTATTTTTGTTTTTTTTTATAAATATGAGTTTTGATATTGTATACACGAAGCTGTCACCACGGATCTCAAAGCAATCGAACATCAAACGGCCCAGATGACAACCAGACGATTAAGGCGTTCTATTGCCCTACAACCAACCTCGTGATCAAGAAACGACCGACACAAGTATTGTGAAAGATTCAAACAACAGGCCACACTTGCGGTCTCAACTAACTAGAGCGTCCATGGGAAATTTTGATCGCGGCTAGACCGGGCATTGGGCTGGCCAGGTTTGGCGTGGGATGGGCTTACTCAAGTTTTGACTAGTCAAAGCCGACTCAAACCGGGCTTGAGCCCGGATTCTATTTATAATTTCAGAGCCAACTCGGTCACTAAATGAGTCGGGCCAGCCCGAGAGCCCCCATGGGCTTTAAAAGAAAATTGATTTTTGTATATCAAAAAATAAATAAATAATAAAATCCTTAACATTTTCTCTAGAATAATGTCATTGATTTAAAGTATTAAAAAAATATGTAATAAGAACGTTTGAAATATGAAATGATGTGTGACAAGAGTTTTAAATTGATTTTATACGTATGAAATTTTTTATACTTTTAAGTGAATTTAATAGCAAATTTATGGACGTGGGTTTTTAAACTGAAAACGTCTCGATATGTAAATAGAAAAGAGTTGAGTTACATGCATACTACTCATCAATTTCTATTTAATATCTAACACATGAACATCAATTTCTACATAGTTTCCATCTTATATATGCATGAAAGTTATATTTCACTTTTTAAAAAAATTTAAATGTGATAAATTTATGGCTAGATAAAGAAGAGGAAGGATGATGACATTCACCTAAAAAACTTGCAATCACGGAATGTATTTAGTTAACTGAGCTAATGAGTGGGCCTGGTTTGGCGCGCGTCGGGCTCATTTGGGCTTTGACTAAGTCAAAGCAGGCTCGGGAAGAGGTGAGCCCAAGTCTAATTGTGGTCGATCGGCCGACCCACTTTACCAGGGCGGATAAGATCGCCACTCCACCGGACACCTCAGCTGACCGACGCAAGACACGGTCGCCACTCAGTCGGTCGCCTAAGTCGGCAAAATTCAAACAAATAGGCCAGAAATTTACCGTAATATTAGGATTCAAATTGAAAGACAAATATAGTATGAAATATAACGACTTGATTCCAATATCAAATCATTTATGTAATTGTACAAAACACATCTTTATATATATAAGGCAAAAATATGAATAAATGGACCTCTCCCAATTGTTCTCTCAATTGTGAATTCTGGTCTTGTCCTACTTTCTCTTCCTCATCCGTCTGTTTCTAATTCCTGTGGCATGTTAGCAAAGGACAATTTGGGATTCAACAGATATGTTATAAAAACAAAATTTTCAATCATGCATGAATTTTAATGCAATTTAAAATTGAAACCATTTGAATTTTAATTTCATCAAATTTACAATCAAATTGGGACTGTCTAAATAAGACTAATCTAACCATGCTAAAGATGATTCGATCAAAATATAAATGAGCAAAGTCAAACGCATTTGTATTGTCATTAAAAATTTTTAAGACATTAACTGAAAGGCAAAATAACTTTTGAATCTAACATGCTTTTGATCAAATCTAATATCTTGATATGAGAGTTCAACGAGCTTAAGATCACTTAATTTTTTCGGTTTACAAAAAAACTTAAAATTTTTAATGAATTATCTATAATCAACATAATCAAAATTAATGATCAGATAATCTTATTTTTTACAGTTGTAGGAAGAGGGAACTTATATATCATCATATATAAAATCGATGATGTCAAAAGTGTAGAATTCACCATTTTTTCAATGTTTCTCTTATAGAACTCTTTTTTTCAATTTATGCGTTAAAATTAAGGCATAAAACTCACTCCATCATTGTATATAAAAAAAAAAATATGCCTTCAATCATAAGCCAAAGTTCGCAGTAAAACAATCTCATGGGTTTGGTTTAGCCCAACTGTTCAGGAGACATGACTTTCATTGGAATGGCCAGTTAGGGTAACCCATCAACCTCACTCGTTGATGTGCCAACTGTCTTAAAATAGCAACTGACTGACCCATCGAATTGTCTTAGAGAACCGGTTCGTTGAACTGGTCTAATCATTCCATCTGACAAACTGACCAATCATACTCACTAACCTAGTTTGTTTATTCAGCAAGCCTTGTAATTATAAGAATGCAAAAGTCAAGACTATATCAATTATTGACATATGTCAAATTATGATTTATGAGCTACATGACACAAACATTGCAATTTTTATCAAGTCATCGGGAGCCATTTTTATAAAATACAACTTGTATTTTATTTTTTATAGGATATGTATAAAATGGGGAATAAGACTGCAAGAAGGATGATTTTCTCTTGCCTTTTCGGCGAACCTTGTGTTGTGACTCCCATGAAACATTTAATGTCTCCTCTCCCCACCATATCATCTCTTGTACTCTATCAGAGAGAATCAGAAAGCAAAACTTATAGTTCATGCATGGAGAATACATCAATCACCTTTTTTCACTCTCTTACACAAGTCTCTCCCGAGTTGTGTGAGCTCACGCACATTATAGAACCCGATGTGCTACAAAGATTCACCAATCTTGTTTCAAGGGTCACTTGTTAAATGTATAAAAAATTAATTTTGTCAATTTAAAATATGAATATACTTCTCAAACTCTTCTAAAAGTCATAAAAGTTATTTTTGAATAATTATATATAAATATAAAATAATATATAAAGGCATAATGGATTTTATGAGGAATAAAAAGCCAAATGTCCCTTTTCATACTTGCAAGCCTCAAAGGTCACAAAAATGAACTTTAAATTTGTACAAGTTTCATAATAGTTGTCAAGCCTAGACATAAAAAATGAATTATATTTTTTTATTTTATTTACTCTAAGACTTTATTCCCCTAAAAGCAATAAAACAGCCATTATAGACAAATTGTGAGCTTGCATGCACAGCCATGAGCCATTCATGAATCCAATTTCTCTTATAAATATTATTTATAATAAATAGCAGATGGCACTGGCTAATAAAACTTTGATTTTTATAACATATCTTTATCATATGCACATGAAATTTATTTTTTTAATTTAAAAAGTAAAAAAAATTGTGGAAAATCAATATCAAATCAATCGCCGCTAAGCCTGCAAACCCTAATTTTCCGAAACCCTGCAAGAACCGATTTTGACCCCAAAATCCAATTTTTTTTTTTTTCCCATCAAGCTCTCCCTCTCTCCCTCCCCATGGGCCGAAAGCTCCGGCGATTTGTCGGCGCCCTGAAAGACAAGGCTTCCCTGACAAAAGCCGCATTCGTCTTCCCTCCTTGCTCCTCCGCCGCCGATATCGCCGTCCTCCGCGCCACCTCTCACGACCACCCCTCCTCTCCTCCCCACCCCCATCACATCTCCGCCCTCCTCTCCTTCGGTCACGGAGCCCGCCCCGCCGCATGCGCCCTCTCCTCCTCCCTCTCCTCCCGCCTTCTCTCCACCCGCAACCCCTCCGTCGCCCTCAAATCCCTCCTTTTACTCCACCTTCTCCTCCGCTCCGCCCCCTTCATCCTCCTCGACTCCCTCTTCTCCTCCCTCCTTCCTAAACCCTCCGGCCACCACTCCCGCAGCCCCCTCCTCCTCTCTTCCTTCCCCCTCGGCGCCGACCCCCTTTCATGGTCCCTCTCCTCCTGCGTTCGCTGGTACTCCCGTCTCCTCGAGCTCCGATTACTCCTCCCTGAACCCACTCCCGATCTCTCCGACTGGGTTTCCTCCCTTCTCACCCGAGATCTCATCGCCGAACTCGACACCCTCGTTAAATTTCTCGCAGAGGCCTCCTCTCCGCCGGAGATGCGCTGCGGCGGCGGCCGATTGGTGGCTGAAGTGGAGAAGTTGGTGATTGAAGATAGGATTGCCGCGGAGAACGGGATTCTAGCTCGGCTCGGGGAGGTTCGGGAGCGAATCGGAGCGGTTGGCTTCGCCGATGCGGTCGAGTTGGTTTTCGTCCTCCGCCGGCTGGAGGATCATCGGCCGGCCCCATATGGATGGATGAGGATTGCCGGCGCCGGTTTTGGAATGAAGTGAAGGACGTTAAGGCGATGGCGGAGGATGTTGTTGTGAAGAGGGAGGTGGAGGCCAGAAAGCTGCGGCTGCTTCGGGCCGCCAGCGCTTCGGACCGGTTTGCGGTTCGGTCCGGGGAACTGGTTGTGTTTGGTTCGAACCGATGGATTAAATAATTTTTTTTTTTTTTTTTTTTTGTATTATAAATTTTTGTGTTCTTCTTTTTTTGTTTTGATTAGAATAAGTTCTGTTGGTGGTTGAAAAGTCAAGGGGCATGTTTGGGAAGAAAATATTTTATGAATTTTAGTAGTTAATTACTTGATTAATTAATGTGTGAGAAGTGGCTTGCACGACAGGTGTTCCTTTATAACTTAACAAATAAGGTGATTTATGTTATATTTTAATTGTAACTTATTGCGAAATGTTTAGGTTAAGTAAAGGCCTCTAAGTTCAACTTTAGGGCCATTTTATTCGAACTAAAGATAGTAAAATTTAGTTAGTTCATGCTTATAATATTGGTGCTGTATACTTTATGCTTATCGGTATGCACTGACATTATTGACTATGATTGGCTATAGATGAGAGTATTACATAAAGCTGATATGTGCCTCCTAATTTTTTATTTATTTAGTACACAACCGATGAAGTGGGCTGCATATTAAAAGATGTCAAGATTAGTCAACGAACTAAATTAATTATTTAAGAAGAAAATTAAACCAAAAGGCAAGAGGAACTTCGCGGGACTCTGTTGAGTCGTTCGCTTGGTTGCCGGGCCGATTGACATGAAGGTTGAACAGAAGATGCCGGGCCGATTGACATGAAGGTTGAACAGAAGATGCCCATAAGATTAGTTGAATGGGAGGCGTCCTATTGCCCAATGAATAAGATGAACCAACTAGAGTTTAAGAGGAAGTTGTAGGCATATTCAACCGAGGAGCCTTCATATTACCTTTATGTGAGAGGGTCTGTCACAACTAGATGAAAAAGTACGGGCCAACAAACAAGGATCGCCGCCGTCAGTCAATAATTACTTATCAGCCCATTTTAATGTATTGTATAAATGAAGTTGGTACCCTCGCGTCTCTTTGTACAAAGAGGAGACCTAAAGGTAATTGTGTAATAAAGACATCTCCTGTATCTATAAATAAAAGATAATGTCATGAGAAAAAACTCTACACTCATTTTTCTTGTTCTTCTCTTCTCCCTTACTTATCTCGCATGCTCTATTCCTTGAGTGTGGTTCCCAAACATTTTTAAATTCAACATTCTTTAAAAATGCGGTGAGCGTGAAATCAGGTCATCGACATAAGAGAAGCATAGTGGAGGGGCAAGGCAACAGTTCAAGAAGCACGAAGCCAAACGATAGATGTGGACAACACGAATGAAATTGTGCAGCAGTAAGTAACAGAGATGAAGGAGCAGTTGATGCTAGAAATGAGAAAGCAAATGGTAAGCACATTTTAAGAAGTCCTAGCTAGTGTATTTGGTTCTTTTTAAATCTCAGAGTAGTCAGCTTGTCCATTTATATGTCGTCGTCGTATGATTTTATTTTTCAAATAAATCTCTCTCTCGGATCATATAAATGATTTGAAGATAGGAGGAATTAAAAATACACAATACATGATGAAAATAGATAAACAAATTTTAAAAAGAAAAATGGAAGACGCTTTTACTGTAATTCTCGTGTGATGGATCGAGAGTATAAGTCTGAATAAAATTAGATCGAAATACTTCGAAATGTGATATCCACAAAGAAAATTCATGCATAAGCCACCCATAAACAGAGAACCAAAAAGAATATTTTTGTTCTTGGGTTTGGGTCATGAGCACTCTCAAAGGAACATATCTCCTAGATTAATCACATTTTATGGGATACCTAAGAATACTTTCGATAAAAGAGAACTTGCTTACTTTATCTTGATCGGTAAATAGGTCACAAAAAGGATGATTATTTCAACTAGGAACATTCGAATGCTTTTAATCTGTCATCAAGCCACATGACATGGAGTGAGTCTCTCACATTATGAATGGGTAGCCGCTTATCGGCATATAAGACCTACAAAATAGCCAAGTTGACTCATACGATCCACACTATGCTTCGAGGGTCTAACCAGGCTATAAGGATAGAGGGTGAATCACCGTATTCCAAATTTTCGAAGACTTATCTGCAATCGGGGCATATGAGATGATATTAACAAAGTCACAAAAGGATGACATTGCACAAAAGGGCTCAATAAAAAAAGAGGTAGAGTGATCCTAATAGGGTAAAGATAACCGGGTTGGGACACCCATAATCAGTCATCCCAAAATATTATGACCCTAAGTCTACCTGGGTGTGAAGTTACTCTACCCAACACAACTAAAGACTCGTTATTGATAATCCATGAATTGCGTCTTCAAAATAAATCTATGTAGTCATAAGGTCAAAAGAATGAAACTCTAAGTTCTATGACTCGTAATGATAGAGCTGAAAGAGTTAGGACTTGTACCCAACAAATAAATGACGAATTTGTCATAGGAAATGAGAGAAAAAATTGTGGTTCCAGCTACAAAACTAAAAACACTCCCGCAAAAAGACTTATACCCCGTATGAGCTGGGAAGGTCTCTAAAACCCTAAATGTGCTAGACAACCACCCAAGTGGAAATATATGTTAGGTCAATTGGATTAAAGAAACAGAGGGCTACTGCTTGGGACATGCAATTATCTAAAGTGTTAAGCGTAGAAACCCTATTAATATGCCTATATGATAGCGTGCATGCAACCTATTTAAAACCAATCCGACACCCAAGTAGAAAAGTAAATGCAGGTTTTAAATTGTTGAAAATTTAATCCTAAATTTTAATCTTATCTTAATTATTTATTAGGATTTTTAGCAAAAAAGTATATTTTAAGTCCTTAAAAGTCTAAATTGTATATCACTCAATTTCCAAACAAATTATGATAAAAAAAAGAGTAACTCACAGGTAGGGCTGTGAATTTTGCTCGAAGATCATTAATCACTCGAAAATTGATTCAAATTTAAACTCAAATTACGATCGATCGAATAGACCGGCTTCGATTTTGATGAATCAAAAAATTGGACCGTATTATTTTTGATCTGATTTCGGGGGGCTATAGGACCGGATCGATTAAGCAAACGAGAAGATCGCAACTCTGGCTCAGTCGCTCATCGCAACTCCCGTTCCCTCTTTCCCTCCACCCGTCCTCCATTAATCTCGTCGAGCCTGAGAAGACCATTCGCAGGGCGAGCGAAATCTACACGAGCTTGAAGATTGTTCTCACGATCCATCCCAATTCGCATTCGGCTCGCCATCTCCTCCATTCCTTCGCAAGCTTCTTTTCTTGGAGTCACGCGCGGAGCTCCTTCTTCCTTCGATCGTCAAAACGCCGAAAGGGCTTCTTCTTCCTCCGATTGTCCAAGCCGCAAGGACCTTCTTTCTCCTTTGATCGTCCAAACCGTGAAAGGGTTTCTTCTTCCTCTGACTGTCCAAGCCGCAAGGATCTCTCCCTTCTCAGTTTGTTTGGTTAGCTTCCTCTAATCAATTCTTTCCCGTTTCTTCTTGGTTGGATCTGCATACAAGCATAACAACATGGTTAGGATTTTCAATCCCTTTCCCTTTCTTAATTCAAGCTTTAAAGATGATTTCCACTTGCCCTAGATTTCTGGACGCTGCATGTATTTTGGTATGATGAAACATAATTGTTCTTAATTAAATTTGCATCTTATTCAAGATATTGCTTAATAGCTTATTAAAATCAAACTGCTAAACATGTTTAGAATGTTAAGCTTGCTTGCTTCGATTATGAATTACTGGATGTGGGATATGTGAGTTTTCTCAAATAAGCCTTTTCTCTGTTGCCGTTCCAGCATTTCTTGCTGTGTCTTTCGACATTTTTTTCTTAGAAAGTTTTACATATATACCATACAATTCTTATGTATTTGCATATCAAACAATTAAGCTCCATTATTTTTACATGCATACCACCTTATGCATGGAAAACTGTCTTGGCAGTATTTTGACATGGTGTGGAAAATTTAAATGATGGTAATGTGAAAAGCTAGAGTTTTGGTGTTAGATATGCGTTGAGAAAATTAGGGCGAAGAAAAACATTAATTGACACAAATTCAGAAGAACACAGAGATTTAACGAGGTTCGGCAAAGATGTCTACGTTCTCGGGAGCAGAGCGACGGTTTTTCACTATTCAGTAAAGAGAATACAAAATACAGAATTCAGGAATAATCCCTAGGGTTACATACATGCCTAATTTATAACCCTAAAAAACACATAAAAAGTAAACATTGAATACAATATGTGATTACCAAATTACCCATGTACCACACCCCCAGCCACATAAGGAAACTCCCTTGATTTTGATAGAATTTTTCGCTCTGCTCCGTTCCAGATTTAGCACTGTCCATTTATGGTATATGAGCATATCTAACAAATCTTCACCTTGGCGAATATCCAGCCCCTTAGGAGAAATACGTCATGGAGTTTCTTACATACCAGAAGTGGGTTGGGCCACCATGCATCTCTAGCAACTGCAAACATTCAACAAGTCCAAGCAATGCAAAAACTTGTTGATGGTAACTGACTTGGTCAACATATCAGCTGCATTCTCATCAGTATGAACCTTCTGCAAAAGTATCTCCCCAGAAGAAATTAATTCTCCAATCTTGTGATACCTGACATCAATGTGCTTAGTTCTCGCATGGTACATCTGGTTCTTAGCCAAATAAATAGCACTCTGTCTGTCACAATGCAACTGAACTCCACCTTGCTTAACGCCCAGTTCCTTTACTAGCCCGACAAGCCATAAGACTTCTTTAGCAGCTTCAGCTACTGCCATGTACTCAACTTCAGTTGTAGATAATGCCACAATATACTGAATTGTTGATTTTCAACATATAGGCCCTCTATCAAGAGTAAACACATACCTAGTTGTAGACCTTCTGTCATTCAAATCACCAGCATAGTCTGAATCAACATACCCCACAATTGAAGGATCATTCTGCTGACTGCCAAAAATAATCTGTTGAAGGATCATTCTGCTGACTGCCAAAAATAATTCCATGTCCTACAATACCCTTCAGATACATGAAAATCCACTTAACTGCTTCCCAATGTAGCCTTCCAGGTTTAGCCATGTATTTGCAGATTTGACTAACAACATGAGCCAAATCAGGACGAGTACATACCATTGCATACATCAAACAGCCAACCGCACTGACATATGAAACCTTTGCCATGTCTTCCATTTCTGTATCTGTCTTAGGGCACTGTTATGAAGAAAGCTTAAAATGATTTGCCAAAGGAGTGCTCACAGGCTTTGCTTTGCCAATCTCAAAACTTTCTAGCACTTTCTCAATATAGCCTCGTTGAGATAAACATAATCGTCTTGTGCCTCTGTCTCGATGAATCTCCATTCCAAGAATCTTCTTCGTAGGACCCAAGTCTTTCATGTCAATCAATACCACGGATATCATTCATATTCTTTGCAGCAATCAATATATCATCAACATACAATAACAGAAAAATAATAGAACCACCATCAAGGCTCTTCACATGAACACAACAATCATACTCACATTGCCTGTAGTCAATCTGCATCATGTAGGAGTCAAACCGCTTGTATCATTGTCTTGGAGACTGTTTTAACCCATACAGTGATTTTTTTAACCTGCAAATCAGATGCTCCTGTTCAGATTGAGTGAACCCTTCTGGCTGTTTCAGGTAAATCTGCTCCTCTAAATCACCATGCGAAAAAGCAGTTTTAACATTCATCTGCTCCAAATGCAAAGCCCAAATAGCTACCAATGCAAGCACTGCCTTGATTGAAATATGTCTGACCACAGAACAAAAAATTTCATCATAATTTATCCACTTATGCTGTGAAAATCCCTTTGCTACCAGTCGAGCCTTGAACTTTTCTCCTTCTTTTTCTGATACTGCTGGTTTTCTTTAGTAGACCCACTTGCTACCAATAACCTTCTTTCTCTCTGGAAGCTGAACTAGCTCTCATGTGCGATTTTTCTGCAAAGACTCCATCTCCTCAATCATTGCACCCATCCATTTTTCTTTCTCTTAGCTGGTGATAGCTCCTTGAAAAGTGGCTGGATCATTGCTGCTGATGAGAAGTGCATATGAGACTAAATCTTCATAACCCTATCTGCTATAAGACCTTACATTGGTGCGTCTCTGTCTATCTCTGGCTAGATTATAATTCTGCAGATCATCTGAAATAAAATCACCAGGTGTTGGATTTGAACTTTCACCTCTCTCAGAAGTTACTGCTGTTGTTCTAAGTCCATCTGCACTGCATATATACTGGAACTCTTCTCTGACACCTTGTCTTGATTCTGCTGTAACAAAAACTGCTCATCAAAAACTGCATCTCTGATGATCACCATCTTCTTTACAATCGGATCCCAAAACTTGTATCTTTTCACACAATCTTGTAGCCCAGAAAGATGCACTTCTTGGATTTTGCATCAAGTTTGGATCTTTCATCTCCAGGTACATGCACATAAGCAGGACATCCAAAAATCCGTAAATGATCAAATTTAACTGGATTACCTGTCCATACCTCTTCTGCGATCTTGCCACCTAATGATGCTCGAGGTGATCTATTGATGAGATAGCATGCTATATTTACAACATCTACCCTGAAACTTTTAGGAAACTCTGCATTCAGTCTCAAGCACCTTGCTTTTTCAGTTAAAGACCTGTTCATCCTTTCTGCTACACCATTCTGCTGTGGTGTCTTGCGCACTAAAAAATACCTTTGAATCTCATGCTCCTTACAAAACTTCTGAAACTGCGAATCTGTGTACTCTGTGTCATTATCAGATCTCAAATACTTGATCTTTCTGTCAATTTGGTTCTACACCTCAGCTTTCCACAACTTGAATTTAGAGAAGACTTCAGATTTCTGCTTCAAGAAATGCACTCAAACTTTCCTGGAGAAATCATAAATAAAGGTAACGAAATACTGAGATCCTCCCAATGACAACTCCCTAGTAGGGCCCCATACATCAGAATGCACATAGTAGAATGCACATAATTAATTCCAAATAAAAAAGATTCCTTTAATTTTTGTTTTTCCCAGCCATAAAACTGACTCTAGTCTGTTTTCCAAGAATACAAAGCCTACAAAGCTCGAGCTTACAGCTTTTAACACCATACAACATATTTCTTTTATGCAATTCCGCCATCCCACGTTCACTGAGATGACCCAGATGCATATGCCATAGCTTTGTACTGTCATTATCTGACTCCACATAATGAACTCCACCTACAACTGTACTCCCCAACAGTTTGTAGATATTACCTGCAGTTAACTTTCCTTTCATCACTGTCAGCGCACCTTTAACAATTCTGATGGTTTCTCTATCCTCATCTTCATTAGGAATAGAACTATTTCTGTGTAGAGTGTCCAAGGAAATCAAATTCTTCTTCAGATCTGGAATATGTCTGACATCACATAACGTTCTAACTGTACCATCATACATCTGAATTCTAACTTAATCAATACCAACAATATTACAACATCTATTATCTCCTAAATAGACTAAGCCAGAATTAGTTAACTTGTATGAAATAAATCACTCTCTGTTAGGTGTTATGTGATAAGAACATCCTGAATCAAGAATCCATGCATCCGTGAACTGAGTTGATGAAACTACTGAAAGCATATCACCATCACTACCATCACTACAATCTGAATTATCATTCTGCACCACATTTACAGACTTTGATTAAGTATCACCTTTCTCCTCAGTTTGTTTCTTAAGTTTTGGACAATCTCTCTTCATATGACCTGACTCCTTGCACTTGTAACAATGAATTTCCTTTTTGCCTATAGACATTGATCTGAAATTTTGCTTTCCAGATCCCATCATTCTCTTTCTTCCTTCCATGATCCTGCTTACCCTTAACATATAAACTGTCGCCGTGAGAGTTTTCCCCTGTATTTTGCTTCCGCTGGTTGTGAGCCAACAACGCTGCAGTAATCTCATCAACTTTGATAGTCTCTTTCTCATATGTCAGAGTAGTCACCAGGTGTTCATAAGAAGAAAACAGTGAACATAACAAAATCATCGCTCAATTTTCATCCTCAATACTCACATCAAGCCGTGATAAACCGACGATTATTTGATTGAAGCCATTCACGTGCTGTGCTAGATCAGAACCTTCCTGCATCTTCAACCCATGCAATTTTTGCTTCAGATTTAACTTGTTCGTCAAAGATTTTGCTATAAACTGAGTTTCTAATTTCTTCCAAACTTCTCCTGGAGATTTCAGATTCATCACGTGATACATAACTTCATATGTCAAGCATAGATGTATCGTCGCTGCCGCTCACTGTTGCAATTTTTCCCAATCTTCATCCTCTATGACATCTGGTTTTGCCGCCCGCAAAGCATTCAAGGTTCTCTGTTGCGCCAACAGATCTTTCACTCTTATTTGCCACAATCCGAAGTTACCAGTTCTATCGAACTTCACCACCTCGAATTTCGCA